TCGGATTTTTCGGTTCTCTGATTTTGGCGTACCAATTCGTGAAATACTATGACCCGGAACGAAAATATCCCCATGAACCGAGATGTGTGAACCAGTATCATGGTTAGAAAGCAAAAATGGTGAAGAGTTTGACCGTCATTTGAGATTCTTAAGGATCAAGTTAGATTTTGTATCTATTAGAAACTAAATTGGACACACTTTTTTCCCAGGGACGGACTTAGATATTTACGATTAATTTTATACTTCAATGGTAATTGAGTTGATGAACATGATTTATGGCATCCTTCGACCCATGTGGCCGATCCACCGAGTGGGATTAGGGCTTGATTTTTGTTGTTGTTGTTGGTAATTGAGTTGATGAGTTCATTACTTATGTTTAATTTCTACTGTTGATTGAAGACAGCCAGAAGTATCACCGTCAGAGTATGCAAAAGCTAACAAGGAGCTCCGGAAGCTCAGTGGTTCTCTAGACCTTATTAATGAGTTGAGGGCCAAACAGAAGGTAACCGGGTGATGCAACTTGCCTGAATTGAAATTAATGTTCTATTCTCGATTCATGACATTGTAACAATCACAAAGATATAGGGAACAACAAAATAATGCTAAGCTTTTCTTTGTCTTATGTTTACAATCTCCTACAATTGATTTGGTAACATGTGTTTATCGTTCTTTGCTAATAAAGTAATAAGACAACTACTAAATCGGATTATCTTTCCTGTTTCACTTTTAGATAAGAAAAATATTGAAAACAGTGAAGATAATGTACTAATTTTTGAAGCTAAAATTATGAAGTTAGTTTTCTTGCATATTATGTGATATTACATTTTTTATTATCTGCAGGAAATTAATGGTTTGAAGTCGTTGATGGCTGAATGTTCTGAAGATAAAGACATGCTTAATATGGCAACAGAGGAAATTGGCCAGGTCGTAGAGGAAGAAAGAAGATTGCAAAATTTGCTATTGAAGTCATTACTTCCTAAGGATGATGCTGATGAAAGAGATTCTATTTTGGAGGTGAGAGCAGGTAAAAGTGTCACTGTTGGAAATGGATATCTATTATTAATGTTCATCATTTTCATTTGCTTTCTTTTGTCCCCATTTTCATTTGATTTTATTTTATTTTACCATTTTTGCTAGGCACTGGCGGGGAAGAGGCTTCCTTGTTTGCAATGGACATATTTAGAATGTAAGGTTACATTTGTTTAAACGAAAATTGGTCAGAAGCTGTTGTAATATTATAGATTTCTAAAAGGAGTTTTGTCTTACATAAGATAGGTATGAGAAGTATGCTCACCAGAAAGGCTGGAAGTTTGAAGTAGTAGATATAGCTCAATCTGACCATAAAGGATACAAGGTGCATATTTCATTCATTAATGTGTATGCTTTGAATTGTTGGTTGCAATTTCGACTGCAGACTGCAGGCAACTGGTTTTACTGCATGCCTCCAATTCATGATAGTAGAACTATATTTCATCTTGCAGTCGTGTACTTTTTATGCATATGTTGTGCTTTGTTGAAAACATACATAGTTGGTCCTAAAAAGTGAAGGTTGTGTTAGGTAGTCACAACCAACTTAAAACTTTCTTGAATCTCAATGAAATAAATTGATGTATTTTTTGTTTGGATTTTACATTCTCAGGAGGCTAGTGCAACCATTGCAGGATCTGGTGTTTTTGGGAAACTTAAATTTGAGAGTGGAATTCATAGAGTACAGGTTTTAGCTCTACCACTCCTCCCTCACATACAATGTATGACCACATCTACTTTCAGCAATTACTGACTTTCTTTTTTAACAGCGAGTTCCTGCAACAGAAAAGTTGGGACGCATTCATACCAGTGCTGTTTCTGTTGCAATCCTTCCTCAGGCTGATGTGGTAATTAGTAATTAATCTGATGAATCAATGCCCTGTGACATGGAACTTGAGTTCTTGTTGTATCCAAGAATATTATCAATGCTTTCTACGTGTAGTTCCTCCAAAATAATGAATAAGGAAAATGCATCCTCCTCTCCCCCCTTTGGATCTGTTAGTTTCATTGATGGAACTTTGGAAGCTTGATTAATGCCTTTTATGTTCCATCTGATGCAATATGATGTGATCCTAGTTCCTACCTTTCTTCTCTTGCTGGTCTCTTATTGTGTCTTGCACGTGCCCCTGATGTAGGTTGATGTTCAATTGAAGAATGACGACTTGAAAATCGATACCTATAGATCTGGTGGTTCAGGTGGTCAGCATGCAAATACAACCAACAGTGCTGTTAGAGTAACTCACATTCCGACAGGGATTGTGGTTGCTATACAAGATGAACGTTCTCAGCATTCGGTAAATGGTTCTAAATATTTGGCATGATTTACATATCTTGTTTTTAACTGGAAATTTGCCTTTTCCTTTTTTTGGGTGTAAATTACTCCCCTGTTTTGTATTTGTGAAAACTTATTAGGCTCCATTTGGTTTGAGGGAAGAAAGTAAGAAGAGAGAAATATGTGAGCAAGAGAGTGAAAAGATAGAAAGAGGTGGAAAATAGAGTGAAGTTGTGTTGTTTGGTTGTATAGAAAAAGAGGAGAAAGAAGTGATTTTACTCCCCCACTCTTCCTCTCCCGCTTTCTCTTCACATGAGAGGAAGAAATTTGATGGACCCCACTTCATTTTTTACTCTCTTCTTAAACTCTCTCCTCAACCAATTGAGAGAAGGAGAATCTTTCTCTTCAACTTCTGTTCTCTCATTCTCTTTCTCTTCCCTTTCTTCTCTACCAAAGGAAGGCTAAAAGTGCTATAGTTGACTCCAAAATGCTGTCAATATCTTGGAGTTAATAGTAGTGCTACGTTTTCTTTTTATTAATGTGTAATTTAATTTACTGCCTCACATAAATGTTACATGCACTTGAGAGATAGTAGTTACTAAGGGAATATGTTCTAGTGTATAGCTACTTGGCAATTTCTTACAGTAATTATTCTTTTCGTATGCCATCTATAAAGCCATAAGCAAATTTCTGAAATGTGCAGTTTTGTGCTATTTTGTTATCTCAGTTGAGCTAGATAGGTAACTTAAAATGCTCTCTGACGTCGTGTTCATTTAGAAAAGCATGTGTGTGATATAGTTACATTTTAGTTTCAAAACTTTATTTGAAGACATGGACCGACTTAACAATTTTAAGAAAAACAAGAAAGCATAAGCCTTTTTCTTTTCACTGTTCGGTATTTTTATCTACGGCTATTTTGTTTCTTTTACTGGGATAAAAGCTTGATTGTTGTTATTGTTATTTTGTTTCAGTTGCTTAAGATATTGTAAGGGCCATACTAACATATTTGATGAGCCAGGGTTTGTTAACTGTGATGTGATTAATTCACTATTATGGTTATTCTGTTCTACACTTGTTTGTGATCTTATTCTTTCCCTCCCTTTAAATTTTTACCTCTGTTATCTCATTTCTGTTTAGAACAAGGCCAAAGCACTAAAGGTGCTGTGTGCAAAACTATATGAGATGGAAAGGTCCAGACTTCATAGTAATCGATCAAAGCTTCGATCAGAGCAGGTAAAGGGATCTCAGTAAACTATTTTCAATTGCTATACCCTTTTGCTTTCTGGATCGACTCAGCTTGCATATTGTACAGATTGGTAGTGGAGATAGATCTGAACGCATCCGAACATACAATTTTCCACAAGGCCGTGTAACCGATCATAGAGTTGGCATCACTTATCACTCAATAGATGATGTGATGCAAGGAGAGAGTCTTGATGTCTTCATCGATGCTCTTCTATTGCAAGAAGAAATTGATGCAATTGCAACTTTTAGTTCATCTCAGTAGATTCAATTGTTGTTGATTATTATGCCAATGTCTTATTTTTGAATTTTGCTCTCTGGAAAGAAAAACAATCATAATTTGCTTAAGATGATAGACAGAAGAAGGAATAGCAGTGATATTATCATAAAATAGCACCAAATGATGTGTGTGTGATTATCATTTATCAGGTATTACATGACATTATCCCCTAATCTTATCTTAAATTTTGCCACCATATTGTGTTGTGACAAGCCCTGGTATTGCTTTAACTTTGAATCAAACAAAAATGTCATCAACACAAATTGTGAGAGCCTCTATTTTTTGGAAATGCATGAGATTTGTAATCTAGAGTGGCACAAGACTTCATTTTCGGCATGAGTTATACCACAATCGGCCATAGTCATATTGACACTCAGAGGTTGAGTATGTTACTGTCGTCGATCACCCCAAGGCTGATGCTTGCTCTTCCATCCATCCCTAAGCTGATTGAGTGTGATTGGAAGGAACAATCGGCTTATCACCCTATCAACCATGCAGAATCTGTGACACAAACTCGAAGTACTTTTTCAAGGCACTCTTCCCTCACTCAACCGTGGAAGGAAAGTCATCAAGAGGAGAGCCACCACTTCCAGTCGGTGTCGGGCAAAACCTCAGAGCTCGGACAGAACATAAGGTAATATTAGATTACAGTTATGTTTGTTAGAACAATTTCCAGAAAACAAAAGCATATATTAAACTTGAAGGATATAGGGTTAAATTATCTCAGCCAGACAACTGTGGATTTAATTGATCAGTAACTATGGTACTGAGAGTGTGAGACAATGCTGCATGATCAAATAGAACAATATCTATCAGAGAAAGTATCAATTAGAACCATTCTGTTAGAACAGTTATAAGATTTATAAAATGCTGCATCAAATAGAGCCAACTAGCTATGTATTCAATGAACATCAATGCCTTATTATTTGAGTAAGGATTTATTTTGATACAGTGTGTAAAACTCCTGTATAGTATCATTCATAATAGATTGTCATGTCGTTAAAATGCTCAATAAAAGAGAGCCTCAATGCACAAGACTCTCACTTAGTGGAATCTGGGGAGGGTAAACTTACGCAGCTTTACCCCTTAAACAGAAAGAATGTTTTCAGGATTTGAACTCATTTGATAGATAAATAGATCGATAAATAAAGACGGACGATGTAAATGGAGATGACGAAAGGAAGGGACAGAGCCAGAGCCAGGGAAGAGGCAGTGCATGAGTGTAGCAACAACAGGTTCTTCCTCTCATTCTCACTTTCTATGACTATATTCTGTTGTTAGCTTCATTCATGCTCTACCTGTTCCCAGCCTTTGTCATGTCTCATAATCATCCCATTTTGATTAACTTACCCACAAACATTAACCACCTTCTATAAAAATATCTATATACCAATAAGGTTGTCTAAAACATAAAATGATATTATCACCCAAAAAAAATAGATTTTCAGATTCATAAGGACTTTTGAGTGTATAGATATGATGCAATAAGAGTCTATATATAATAAACATAATAAATAGTACAAGGGAGGTTGGTTTTTAGTACAAGTATGTACTACTAAATTTGAGTTTAATGTTGTCCTTGTACTACTTCATGTTATTGGTACTACATAGTTCAAAGTGAACATGTTCAGATAGATTTCAATTGTACTACACCTTGTAGTACTCAAAGATGTAGAATCCACCCTCTCTAGTCTCTACTTTGCTATTGTACTTTTTTTGTTTTGAAGGGGAGATGCCAAGTTGTCAACCCAAATTTTATTATAATGTAGTATTAACCCTGGTTCGTGCCGGCCGGTTTTTAAAAACTGGTTCGGTTTCAACACGGGTATGGTACCACAATTATATCGGTCAAAACCGGTTGTACCTGTCACATCGGTCTATTTTTATTTAAAATTAGGAGGAGAGATCTACTTACTCCAAGAGTAAGATTTTTTAAAATTACTCTACATCGTAGCCATCAATTCTAGGAAATCTAATGGTTTAGATCTACTCACTAATTCAAACCATTGGATTTCCCATGTAAATGTTTTAAACTTACTCTTGGAGTAAGTGGATCCCTCCCTAAAATTAATTTTTTAATGAAAATAAAAGTAATTATTGTTTTTTATTGATTTTTCAACATTAATGTTAATATATATATTATATATCTAACTTCACCGGTATACGGTTTAATTAGTGAACCATCGAATGAATTGTTATACCACTATATCAGTACCCTACCGGATGACCGACATGTTATTAATAACACTAGTATTAAAGTTAGAAGCAAAAGCGTTAGTATAAAACTTCTTATCAACTCACCTCATTCCCTAACAACGTTAGAAGCAAAAAAAGGAAGAAACTACTACTCATTATCATTCATCAACTATGGCAGCACAAAGCACAAGTCACATGTTTTCGCTGCGAAAAAGGCTACTGCCAAGAGAGAAAATAGAGAGTCTCCTAAAACTTGCTTAGAGAAAATGATGAAACAAATTTGTTCAAAGAAGTTGAGAATGATTTTGAATTTGGAATTTTGATTGGAAAAGAATTATAAAATGAGAAAAGGGGTAAGAATTTTTATCATGTAAATATGTTTGGATAAGAAACAAATACTACTGAAGAAAAATGGTTACCAATTGTTACCACATATTGGGATGATAAGGTGTAATAGGAAAATTATATATCCTCTTACTAAATTCTTCTAATAATCCTCTTACTCATAAGAAAGTGACATATGTTACTTGTAAACCAATAACTAATAAATAACGTATCACTTCGAGACATATGTCATTTTTTTTATAAGTATGAGGATTATTAAAAGGATTTAGTAGGAGAATATAATATTATTCGGGGCAATATCAACTAGTTCTCAATGGTTCACATAAAGCACAAATCAATATCAACTAGTTCTCAATGGTCTTGGATGCCCAATCCTCATTAATTATTTTCGGCAAATAACATTGAGACATGCTGACTCCTCTCTAATAAAAATAGAGCTGAAATCTGAACCACTAGAAACACAAAGATATGTGGTTCCTCATGAAAATTATCTTTCCCATTTTTGGTATTTCAAGTGTGTTTTAATCTAATTAAAAACTATCACCTAATTGAAAAAAAATTATAAAAACAAAAAATAACATTTTTTACATTACTTAGTGTAACATGATTAATTTTACAGGAGATATACATTTTTTTTGGGGAGAGGAACCCTTGATATTAATTCGATTTATGTGTATCTATTACTATTTGAATTGAATTATTGGTCTTTACTCTCTTTCATTCCTCATGGGCCCTTCCAAGCGAACGGGATTTTCTGTCCCATTTGGTGTCCTAAATGGTGTCCCGAATCAATCACATTGTCTTATTTAATTAAAATAAAAAATTATAAAAATATAAAATAATATTTTATATTATCTAGTAAATTTTTATTGGATGAGAACAGAGGGACAAGGTCCATTTGGGATAGATGATCCTTTCCCTTCCCATCCTAGCATTCATGTCTATGTTATTTGATTTTGCAAAGGAAATGACCAAAATTGCTTGGCGGAATAGTTCAGTTTTCTACTTTCTACACCAAACCAAGTTTAGACTTAAAAGCCAAGTACCACAATTTTTTTTATAGAATATCCATTTAATCACTTTATAAACAAAGCCTCTTACAATTCATCATAACAATACATAGAATCACAAATATTCTTCTTCTTATCAACCCTTTACTTTGATTTCTATCTTTCAACACTATAACCATGAATATATCTATTATCAGAACCAAACAAAGCTTAGTTAAACCATTCAAGAACACTCCATGCATCACACTAGATTTATCAACCATTGATAAATTACCTTCTCTAAGATGCAATGCTAAAACCTTACATGTTTTCAAACATGGTCATGAAGCAAAAAGGGTCATAAGAGAAGCTTTATCTAAAGCATTAGTTCCTTATTACCCACTTGCTGGAAGACTTATAGAATCAAAAGAAGAAGGGTTTTTGCAAATTCAGTGTTCAGGAGATGGTGCATGGTTTGTTGAGGCATGTGCTTATGATTGCAAACTTGAATCTGTTAATTTCTTTGATGATGTTGAGTCTATTCCGTATGATGATCTTCTTCCGAATCATGTTCCTCAGATCGAAGGTATCGATCCTCTTGTCAAAATGCAGGTATCAATCAGGTTACATACTGTATAAATTGTTGCGTTTCCGTATCAGGTTTAAACGGTTAAACAATTCGGTCATACTGATGATTTCATATATAATTAATCATTTTTTATTTATAAATATATAATTATATATAAATACAAAATTTTATATAATTAATAATTATGTAAAAATTTATTTCTTTTTATTTTAAGTGAAAGTGTCGGACCGAAATTAACCAAATTTAAAGCGATCCAATTCTCATTCAGTTAAGACGGTAAAACATAGTCGTTTTCAAGTTCATTTAGCGGTCGAACCGTCGGACCACCTGGTCCATTCTGTTTTCCACAATTGTGGTTTGTAATATTGTCACCAATAATCTTAAAACTGCAATCTCCAATACAGGTTGCATAATGCAATTTGAAACATTGCTCTAGCTTAATTAGTGTTGGTCTCTAGTTAACAAATACAATATTAGTATGATAAATATGTCTAATTTTGTTATATAACAAACCTAATGAATATATAAGAACTTTAATGAATGTAAATGATTATGAGGTAGTGACAATCTAATGATTATTGAAATCTAACATAGGATACAACGGTTTATTGTCTCTAAGCATGTTTTTAAGCATATTCCGAACCACTCAAATATGTCATATCACTTACAAAAATTATATATTTATGATTTTCTAGTTTTATTTTGATTGGTTCGAGTCAAATTTGGGAAAATATTTTGAAGATAACCAATCTTTTTTTATATCTATCACCTTCTTAAAATAATAATAGTAATGACCCATTACAATTTCACTTATGAAAGTAATGGATGAGGCAGATATCATTGTCTCACCAACAATGGATAACACCATTATATATAAAAAAATGATACCATTATACCCATAATGTAGTAGAAAAATGATACCATTATACCCATTATACCCATTATTCTATGATGAGGTACCATTATACCCATTATACCCATTATTCTATGATGAGGGTACCATTATACAAGCCTTAAGTAAAGGCTTATTATACCTTGCATATTTCAAGAAGAAATTAATTCAACAAAAAATGGAATCAAATCATATTATGTTATGAATTAGTGTGCTCATACCTATGTTTAGGGTTAGCAATCAACTAAACCATCTTGAAATTAATTTTAAAATCCAACTCATTAATTAGTTTAATATACATGGTTTATGATTGAGTTGAATTTTGTACCTGAGGTTTTTGTGTATATTTATTTTCCCTTCTAGCATATTCAATATACAAACTCTCCTCATCAAATATTTGCACTAATGAGACATGGGTCTAGTGGTGCAAGACTTCATTAGATCACACATAAACCAAAAGGCTTAAGGTTCAATTCTTGATAACGACATTTGTTGGTCGAGTTATACACACATTTCAAAAAGGATTAGTTTCGTACCTATATAATGAAATGATACCATTGATTAATTATTAATTAGAATTATGATATATGAATTCTTGCTTATTAATTAGAATTATTAATTAGTTTCTTACATTAAGACTTTCTAAATGTATTGGACATCAAATTCTAGATATTCAAATAACAAACTCTCGTATATTTGCACCAACAAGATATTGATCTAGTGGTACAAAGTCTCATTGAATCCCAGATAGACCAAAAGGCCTAAGGTTCGATTCCTGAGAACGACATTTGTTTATTGGGACAGACACACACTACAAAAGGGATTAGTTATGATATGTGAATTGTTGGTTGCTTTTTATTCTCAGGTGACAGAATTTGGTTGTGGTGGTTTTGTGATAGGCCTTATATTCTGTCATAGTATATGTGATGGTCTTGGTGCTGCTCAATTTCTAAATGCTATTGGTGAACTTGCTAGAGGTTTTGACAAACCCACCATTGAACCAGTGTGGCATAGACACTTCTTTCCTTCACCTCAATTATTACTCCAACAACCTCAATTACAACAACAACCTCCAACAATGCCAGAATACAACCTACAACATGCTAATATAGACATTCCAATCATTCAAATCAACAAACTTAAACAACAGTTTCAACAACTAACTGGACACAATTGCTCTTCCTTTGAGATTGTTGCAGCAGGTAGGGATTCAAGGACTCATAACTATTACAAAAATTATATTTGCACAACTCATTACCACAACTATAGTGACTGCATTTGATTTTTGAGGTCTAAGAAGGGTAGATATATGCTACC